AATTGATAATTAATTAAATTAATTAATCAAAAATATTTAAAATTTCAAAAAAAAAAAAAATCCCTAAATACTTGGAAACATCCCTATAGGTCATTCTTAACCTTTGAGTGCAAGTTGTCATTAAGATGAATTCTGACATAAAATTTTCAAAGAAAACTAATCTTTTTCAAAAACCACTACAACACAAACAATAAATGAACTCAGGTGCAAGTTGGCTAGAGCAACAATGTGAAAACCCCTCTCACATTGTCTCGAAACCTACAAGGATGTTCTCCCTCTAACACAACCTCATATTTCCTTTCTCTTTGCTTAATGCCCTCTCTTCATACTCTCAAGAAGAAACACTCATATGGATATCAAAAGACTCCTTAAGTTATTAAGAGATAGTGGGTGCAAAAATCCTAATAATTCAATTCTAACGACTATGTTCATACAATATGATTAATTCAAGACCGACATAGATCATCTTACACGAGTGAAAATTGTATTGTGCGATTAGTTCAAATTAAATATCAAATTATACAAAACAAGCTAAGGTTTTTCGAGAGAGTGTTCGAATGATTTGTATTGTACAATGCACGATCATCCATTACGATCTATAATTACTTAAGATCTAATTTGATTCCTTAATTATCTGAATAAAACTAGGCAATATTGTAAAATATCATATTGTATGAATATGTTCGTATAGTATGAACAAATTAATTTTCAAAATTCAAATTTGTTTATTTTAAATAAGTTGGATTTGATAGTAGTTTTCTGATAATAGCTGATCGTTATGTAAGATTAGAAATAACTCAATTTCTTTTCTTTTAAATTAAATATTCTAACTAATTTCTATTTGAATGGATAGTACAGTACTATCTAAATCGTACAATATGATTAACAGAAAAATTAAAATATTTTATTTTTTAATCTCTCTTGTGTTGGTATGTGCACGACTGCTAAGCTAACATACACACTTTTACATACATGGACTCAAGAAAAATAAAATTACACATAATTTCAAATAAGCCTAATATATTCAATCCTTTCTTGAGCTTCAATTCTCTTGTGATATTTTGTGTATGTTGGATTGAAATATTAGTAATGCATACAGAAAAAAATACAGTATATAAATCAGGAGAAGCTAAATAATCATCTAATAATATTTGTAATAATCAAAACACAAGATTGGACTCTCGGATTGTAATAATTGGAAGATTTTTATCATGTGACTATTGTCATTAAACTATTAACTTATGAACTTACTGTGGGGGTTTAACAATACGCTTATGGACACTAGATTTATGTAATTTCTGCAATAGGAATCATATAATTATATCTAACTATGTATATACTCTTTTTTCTCAATTGTGAAGAAACGATGATTTTTATATCTTCTATGATATTGTAGATTATTGTAACATCTTTGAAGTTCTTGAGTTTTCCTAAAACATTTTTAACTCTTACAACCTTTTAATGTACATGTTGGATTATTAATTTTTTTTTTTTTGAAGAAATGCGAATAGCATTAAAAAGAAAATAATAACTATTACAAACTAGAAAGCAAAAGCAAACCCTTTAAAACTATCATAATGAATATGTGATCCACTAAATTCCATTTTAGATCCATTGGGGTGATGGGATACCAAATAATAAAACAACCTAAAGGTTGGTTAGTATCCCAGAGTTCCCAATAGATAGAAAATGAAACCTAGTAAAAATCCCACATTTCATTACAACGATTTCAAAAAGGTAGAAAAAACCTATAAAAAAAGCACGCAAATGACAACTTGCTACAAGAAATATAAAAAGAAAAGCTAAACCAGCTGTCCAAACATCAACCGGACCTCCATCAATAGTCTTAGGGTCCAACAAGCTCTATTCCAGAATAGAATCCGCTGATACTTCAACGCAACCAACAACATCCTACATGAACGAGCCAATCAATGTCAACAAAGCAATAACACGAACTCCCACCTCAAGAGTCCAAGAGTCAACCTCTTCATAACCAAAGTTATACGATCTAAAAATCACCACCACACACATCATACTGGCAAGAAATAAACCAGTAATATTCCAATCCCTCAAGTCTCCAACAAATAAGACTTATTCTTCAAAAACTGAAATGATAACCATCTTTAGTTTAGATGAGATAAGCTCCCATCTAAAACAAGCTACACTTCTATGTAAATCCAAAAAAACAACCAGCATTATATTAGCTTCAAAAACAATGTCTTCACCAGAGCATTTACCCGATCTGGTTTCCTTGGAAGATCCAATCAACTCCATAAAAATAGCTTCATAGCTAGAGGAAACAGCAACACTAACTCCATGTATCCTCTCGCACAACAAGAAATTACACAATCCCAGATACTTGAACAGAAAAAAACTGCACAAAAGTTCTCCCAACTGATCTTGCATCTCATTCCATAATTGCATATTTCCAATCCTTAATTTAAAAAGGATCAAAATAACCTTCATAACCACCTCTTGAAGATAAAACTGACCACAGTTGAAAAAAAGAAAACCACAACAAAGTTCCTTGAATAATTGTCGAATCCTCTTCAAGAAACTCCTAGGATCATACTTCAAAGTTCAAACCCAGAAAAATTTCAGATCCAAGAAATAAAACAAGGCTATTATAAAATCGAAACATAATCAGGCAACAAAAATTCTCAAATCTTATCAAAGCAGAACAACCATGCCATAAGCCATCTTCGGCCAAATGATTCCCCATCAGATTCAAGGCCGAAATCGGCCACCAAACAGAAATTTCATCAAAAAAAAAAACTCAATCCACCGTCGAGTAAACGAAAATCCTGTTCAAAAATCTCATCCAGATATATAAACTTACCAACTTCAATCAAGAAAGGTAAAATTGAATAATAATTCCAGACAATACCCAAATCCGATTGAAGGAGAAACGAAGTCAATCTTTGGTTTGCCAAAAACTTCTTAAAATATGTAGTTTCTCTACCCAGATCCTTTAAAGAACCTTCGTCGGCCATGCCTGACCGACTGAGAGCCACTTATTTCAAAGCTATCGTCAAAATCTCCAAGATCATCTTCTTCGCTCGCTTCGCCGTAAAAAACTGTTAAAGAAAAGCTGGATTATTATTCAAAACTAAGTTATTAAAGATACTCTACCACCGTTAATTTTTTATTAGGTAATACTAGAATTATTATTAAAAATTATTTTGAAATAGCAATACTCTAATAAAGGCCCAACGTACGAACAATTATTAGGTCAGGTGACCGGACGTAGCTCTACGTTCGGACGCCAATAACATATAGCTAAGTGGTCTTACTCAATTCCGCGCGGACGGACGACTTGACCCGGGATTGCTATGTTCGTGTATTGCTCGGTATTGCTAGGTATTGCTCGGTATTGCTAGGTATTGCTTGGCAATAATGAAAAATATCGCTATGTGAAGACCAATACCGAGAAATACCGAACAATACCAAGCAATACCGAGAAAATTTCGGTATTGCTCGATATTGGTCTTCATAGAATGGTATTTCTCATTATTGCTGAGCAAAATCGATCAATACCGAACAAATACCGAGCAATACCTAGCAGCACGCGAACATAGCAATCATGTCTCTATTTCGGGTCGGGGTTGTCGGGTCGCGCGGTAAATAGTGAGGCACTATTTTACTGATGTCCGAACGTAGAGCTACGTAAGATAACCGGACCAAATAAAAGTTCCCAACATACATGCAGTATTCAATAAAAAAAACTCGAGTACAAATAGTCCAATTTAAAATGGCTAAGGTCGGGACTCACTGATGCCCTTCTAAAAATCATATCGATGCTAAAGTTTTAATTTAATTAAATATATGTTTATTAAAAAAAATAAATTAAATTACTAATCTAGTTAATAAATTTTATTATTATTATTTTTTAAGAAACACAAAACTACCGACGCGAAGTTTCTCTTCAATTTATTTAGGCATGTTTGGTATGAATGAAATTAAACATTACATATATATTTTACTTCAAAATTATATATTGATATTTAATTCCAACATAATAAATATAAAATTACATTTACCCAAAAAATGTCTACAATACATTTTTTCATTAATAAATCTATACCCTATTATAATTAAGAAAAAACTAATAAAGTATTAGTGCAGTATAAAATAAAAAATAAGAAAAACAAAAACAGAAAGAAATGTTCATTTAAGTATGGTCCGAAATAATTTGGCAGATGACGGAGACATTTAAAGGAATTTTTATTGCGTCCTCCCACCTGACGTAGAGATACGTCCTCCCAGAGCTAAAATCGTGCTTAAAAACGAGAAATACCGAGCAATAACAAACAATAACGAGGAATATCATGTGAAGACCAATACCGAATTATACCGAGCTATATCGAGCAATACAAAAAAATACCTAATTTTTCCCAGAAAAAACTAGATATTTTTTTGTATTGCTCGGTATAACTCGGTATTGGTCTTTACATGATGATATTCCTCGTTATTATCAAATAATACGTAACAATACCGAGCAAAAACCGAGTTTTTTAGCGGTGGGAGGACGTATCTCTAAGTCAGGTGGGAGGACGCAATAAAAATTCCATTTAAAGACTGCCTTAACTTAGTTTTGCTTTTGATACTCCAAAATTTCTTTTATAGCAGAAATCTTGGCCCTTCAAAGGGCTCTGGAAATTTGTATCATACTTGATTTTCCTAATATTTAGATTGAAGGGGATGCTCTTTAGATCATCGAGTATATAACACAGCAAGAAAATGAAAACGTTTCTTCCTTTCATATATTAAAAAGACTTTTCACCTTGAATTTTTTTGTAATATTCGATTTATCATATATAGAGAAGGAACTTAGTAAGCTAATTGCGGCTGCAGTTTAAATACCAGTATGAATTTAGGAGTGGCCCTCCAGCACAAGATAACCATTTACTTCGGATATTAATCCAGAATTTAACACAATTTGTGTCCTGACACTTCAGTCCTCCATTTTTTTAAAGTTCACGATAAAGAACAAACAATCATAATAAAAATGCATCTGCCTAGTTTGATATTATCAGTAAATATCCTAAAACATGAAGCATTGAACCATCTTGTCTCTTAGAGTATATCTTGTCTCTTAGAGTATATCAAACGAAGTTATTTAAATTTCTACCCAGTTTAGGTGTAATTAAGGTTTCATTTGGGAAGCCTTTCATATGGCTTAAAATAGTTTTCTAATATAAAAATTAAAATTTTTGTACAAAAATGCTAATTTAAGAAATAGGAAAAATGAACAACTTGATATAAATTAAACTGGTCATTCAGCTCTGACCTCGAATCCCTTCTCTTGGAGCTCCTGAATGACCTCACTTTTCATGCGAGACCAAAGCTTCTTAGCCTCCTGATCAAACTTCTCAGACTGCAGTTTCTTCTGGAAATTCTCACCATCTTTTTCTGAGTCTTGAGTTCCTTTGGGTCCAATGGTAGTCCCAAGCATACCACCCTTTAAAATGAACTCCTCAACTGCCTCTTTGTCACCTGGATATGGAAATCTCCTTCGCTCATACAAGTTAGCCATTTCTCTTTCTTCCTGGATGAAGATGAAGTGGATGAAGAGAATTCAGTTGACGAGGAAGATTAAAATGAATGGACACTTCGGAAACTACTGACTCAGATGCAAGAATGAACAACTAATATATGTGATCAAACACTTTCTATTTACAAGTAGGTCAAGCAATTTCTCCAATAGTAACTGTTTCAATTAGACTTGTGTTCTAATTTTTTAAACATGTAAGTTTTTTTTAATAATCATGCCTCCAGCACTTTGTATTTACATATAGTTTAATCAATGCTTTTAGTATTAAACGGTTAAATTATGACTATTCTCTTTTATTATTATTATTATATAAGCTTTAGAGATATCATGGCTCTTAAACCTTTGTATTGATATTATATATTTTTTCTATATTTTACTTGTGTTTTAATATCATCATTTATATGCCTATTTAAAAATGACATGAGATTGTAGCAATGGATGGGGCTCTCAGGAGCATGAGGGAGCAATTGAGCTCTTTAAGTAGGCAAATTATTGGGTTAGGTGACCGAACCTATCTCCACGTTCGGATGCCAATAGAAAGCAGACACCTGGCTGCGATTTTTTTAATATAATCTCTTTGCTTTATGTCTTGTCAGCCCGATCGACTCAGCCCAGTAACCCAGATGATTTGAATTCAGAAATAAAAGAATGGAAACGAAGCGTATTTTCATTTCATGCGACATTTTCACTGCTCTGTTAGTCTCGGCTCCGGCACTCTGCTCTCGGACTCCTCCAATACTGCAATATATTATTCCTGCCGGCGGTAGACGACGACATTGGAGAAGATCATTATCTCGAAAAAGGTATGGTTGGGCCTATCTTGCGCTTGACTTGCGCTTTTGTTGCGTTTATGTTATATGTTAAAATTTAGGGTTTAGTAATAATTTTATATATAGCATTGTTTGTTCAATGCAATGTGATCTTCAAATGTTTATCTTCTGAAGTTCAACCTTCTTTGTAAATGGAAGAAACAAATGATGCGAAACTTGCGCTTTACTTGCGCTTTTATCTATTTTTTTTTTACAGATGTCGTATCAAAGGCCAGTAACTTCTCGATGTTATGTTATCACTTTTCGAAAATATTGTGATACTTTTGTCGAGATTATTGATGATGAACTTGAGCAGACATTAAATAATCTGAACATTCATTACTTTTTGAAGTTTCCAGCATTACAACAGTGTATACCACTTCTTTTTTAGGTTCTGAAATTTTGGAGTCATGCTGATGAAGGCTTCATTATCCATGGTCATTTACTAAAATTCACTTCTAACGAGATTGCCTTGTTGATAGGTAATATTTTGAATAAGGAATTATGGATACGGATATGTTTTTCTACTTTAAATGTAAAATGTTCAAAAATTTTCTGACAGGTATGTTTAATAGAGGCAATGATATCAAAGGGAGAAATAATCCTCTAATTGGACCTCTAACAACTGAAATAAAAACAGAAATGCCAAAATTGGACATATTGACTGATAATGCTACAAAATTAAAGACCTTTATAATGTTTTTGTTATCTAATCTTTTCTTTCCACTAAACAACCATATTTTCCCTAGAAGGCTCACATCTGTTGCATGTAATGTAAGTGAGTTCACTTCTATTAATTGGGCTTCATGTATAAGGAACTTCATGGTCAAAGAATTCAACACAATTTTTGACAAGTTTCAAATGCAATTACCATTGGGTTACATCAATGATTTTTTTCCTCTCCTACTGGTATGTTTCCAGTCCTACTGATTATTTTTCTCTCATAAAGCTTTTTAATTTTAACTTTTAATGTTTTATGTTTGGTATTATATAGATTTGGTTTTTGAAACACTTTTCCTTAAAAAACCATCTGATCAAGAACTAAGATCCCATTTTCTGAGATAGGAGGGGTATACTGAATTATACTTTACACAAGAAAATGCTGCCAAATTATTTAAATTTTTAAAGAAAAATGAGGTAATTTTTAAGTCTAAATATTTTATAATTAGTGTTGCGCTATAGTTGCGATGATTGCGCTACAGAATTTGGTTGCTAGAGTTGATCGACTTGAAGATATTGTGGAGAAACTACAATCAGATCTAGATTCCCTGAAGTACAAATTCATTGACTTTCAAATGAATTGTGATCATAATCCTGAATACCCGTATATATCTACATCTTACTCCAGCATCCAATCAGTGAATAAACTCAAAACTACAGCTGTTTGTTTTAATATTGAGCTGTTCTTTATCACAAGAACAATTTCAGACTGACTGCATTTGTACTCCTCATCCTTCTCATTTTGCCGCCAATTCATCAATATCTTTTCCAACCCAAGAAAACAATCAGTTAATGAACTTATTGGCTTTGAAATGTCATGACACACATTATTAGTACACTCGCTACGCTGCGTTGATAAAATGCCCATGCTAAAACAATCCTTGTTGAAAGTTGTTGACCACTTTCTCCTTATCTTATAAAGATCATGCAATCATTCATGATTATGAAGATTTCCTTCTTTGATCATTTCAGCCCATGCCTCCTCAAACACTTCCTCAGAATCACACCACCTCAAACACTTATAGAAGAGTACTTTAACATTATTATTGCTATTGTAGATAGAAACTTTTGATGGAACCTTTTTAAAGATGTGTCATTGGCATAATCAATGACGAGTGTGAGGTAATGCAACTTCTATGGCCTTGGACATAGCTTGGTCCTGATCAGTGAATATTGTTGTTGGATATTTATTACTCATTATTCGTATAAATATTTTAAACAACCATGTAAAACTTTCAATTGTTTATTCTAACAAAAAAGCAACCCCTAACAAAATATTATGCCAATGAATGTTAACACCAACAAATGGTGTACAAACAAAATTATACTTGTTGAGCCTGTAGCTAGTATCAAAAATCAACACATCTCCAAAACATTCATAATATATCCTGCTTCTACCATCAACCCAGAAAAAATTTAACAATATATCATGCTCATCATATTGAACATCCCATGCGAACATGTGGTCCTCAACTTGTCGATCTTTAAATAATTGAATCAAAGAATTAGTGTCACCAATTTCAATCCTTGCTATTTTCTCCTTATGAATAAAATTGTAGGCATCTTTCTTAGAAAATCCAACATTCTCACTTCCTCCAACTTCCTCTGCAAGGTAGGCATATGCATCAATGGTTCTAATCCCTGCATCTTTCGTTGATTTTAGAACGGAAGCTTTTTCCTCAACAACATTCCTACATGATCTCAGAAGGTGTTGGTCGGCTAGGCTAGCCAATTCATGATTGTGGGATTCAATAAATCTTTTGACATGCCAGTAACCATCTTCATCTACTACAAACCTCATCATGGATGGACAACCAGTTCTAACATCTGGTCTAGTGAATATCTTTCTTGAATTAAGATCAATACTTTTCTTGAAACCAGCTTTTGAACAGACAAAGTCCTTGGATTTTATCTTCCTAGAATTTGGCCAAAAAATATGATGATCCTTCCAGACGCTAAAGCCATTATCATGGGCATAAGTACAAAAACAATCATATGCTTCTTTCTCATCTTTATAAACAACCAGAAATGATAAAAACAAATAATATAAAGCGCAAGTAAAGCGCATGTAAAGCGCAAGTAAAGCGCAAGTTTGCGCATGTAAAGCTAAGCAACAACATCAGAGATTTTTTTACTTTTCCTCCTAAACAAAAATATTCCTATAAACACTTATGGGATCTAAATCGCAACATCTAAGATCCTAAGCGTCTAATGAGCTTAAACCTACGCCCTTTTTCTACGGCAAGCACAACACTGCTTTGTTTACAACTTTCTAGCTCGTTTTTCCAACTTGTGATGAGATTGAAACTTACCGATATGTTGAAACCAGAGGAATATCCAGCTAAGTTAGCTTCTAATTCATGCATCCTTTCCGATTCACGCATCCTTTCCGATTCATGCACTCCCTCATCCACCTCCGTCTATGCTGAGCATTCCCTCTCTTTTCTGCAATTTTCTAGCTCGTTCTTTCTTCTAAAGCAATAAATATTTAGATCTTTCGCAGGTTGCCCAAAAATAGGGCAGGCAAATGTTAAAAATGAAAATAAAGTGGACTGGATCGGGTCGATCGGGCTGACAAGACATAAAGCAAAGAGATTATATTACAAAAATCGTAGCCAGGTGTCTGCTTTCTATTGGCGTCCGAACGGGGAGATAGGTTCGAACACCTGACCCAATAATTTGCCCTTTAAGTAAGTGACATGGTACCCTCAATTTGGATGAGGATGTCCGATCATCTCATGCATGCGTGTGAGACCATTCAAATATAATATGGGATTTTTTGTCTTCTTGAAATTTAACTCATTTTTATTATAATAAGAACGTCAAATAGCACCTTGATGCAGAATTATCACAATTGCAGGGTTCTTTTCCATAATAATTCTAAACTTTTGCCCATTAAATTTGTATGCATATTTTTTTTAGGCTTCTTGTCCACAAGGACGAATAATATCTAGCAAAATTTGTTGAGTTATTTTTAATATGTAATGAAGACATGGTTTCTATGATGCACAAACACGGACACGGTGATACAAATATGACACGACGCAGACACAGGACATGTCAATTATTGAAAATATAATACATGGATACGGGTTAGACACGATATTATAATATTTATATTTTAAAAAGTGTATAAAAATTGAATATGTATAATTTTACAAGTAATTTAGAAATAATAAGTTATTTAACTAGAATGTGTGCTTAAAATGATTAATGTTAGGATGTTGAGTCGGGCATCGATATTGCATATTAGACATCGAGAAAGAAGACGACAATGCTATCGAGAGTCGAGCATCAATGTCAAGAGGGTGTATGTCGTCGATATTAAGAGGGCATTGGCTGTCGGTGTTAAGACGACGTCGGACAAAGATGAGCTATCAAGTTATGGTTTTAAAATTGCTAGTGTCGAGAATCAATGTCAAGACAATATGAAACTTTGATGTTGAGATGATTTTTAAATATCGA